TGGGGATCAAGAATGCTGTCCCCAAAACTATAATGCAGTTGATGAGTGTAGATGGCTTAACTCATGAGAATGTGGCTAGTCATTTGCAAAAGTATAGGCTATATTTGAAACGTATGCAGGGACTTTCTAATGGTGGCAGTGGCAATGGGAATGGCAGTATACCGGGTTTATCCGGGGGAGGGATGGTGGATACAGCAACAGATCAACTGTTTGCTAGTTCACCAGTGCCTCCACATTTTTTGCATCCGGGGAGGGGAATTCTGACTAGTATATGCCGTTCGTGCCAGTGGCAGCAATGCAGCATCATCATCAGATGGCTGCAGTTGTTGGACACCTCCACAGCTTCAGCAACATTATAGGCATTTCGGGTCGCCACCAAACGGGCAGTTTGAGGTTCCATTCTTGTCGTGGCAGTCGCAGCAACAGGTTCAGAGAATGGGACATCAGTGCGTAGTAGTAGTCCTATGGTGCCATCTTATGTTGAGGATTTGGAATCAGCTACAGCTGCTAATGGGAGAAAGGTTATTACTTTGTTTCCAACTGGGGATGATTAATATTCAGGGTAACTGTTGATTTGTCATTATGCAATTATCCTGTTAATTTGGCTTATGGATATATCTGGAAACTGTCTTCTGTATAATTCCTGAGTCTTTGATTTAGAACCTTTTATTGGATAAGTGGTGTTTCAGTTTTTAGTATCTCTTTAGTATTGGTCCTTATAAGACTATGAATCCACTTTCCAGCCTATTACTGTCTTCAGGTCAAAGTCATCTGTGTTTTTATGAATTTGGATTTGGTAAGCAACCTCCACTTCCAACCAAGAGGTTGTGAGTTCGAGTCTCCCCAAGAGCAAGGTGGGAAGTTCTTGGAGGGAAGGATGCTGGGGGTCTATTTGGAAACAGCCTCTTTACCCAGGGTAGGGGTAAGGTCTGCGTACACACTACCCTCCCCAGACCCCACTAAGTGGGATTATACTGGGTGGTGGTTGTTGTTGATTTGGTGCATAGTGTCAGTGCTGAAATTGTTCACTTAGACGAACTTCTACAGGTGTAATTATGTTGTGGTTAGCACTGTGTTTCTCTTGTCAGCCTCCATGTTGCTGTCTAATTTAACCCCTGCCGGCTACTAGTGATGAATAATGAAGGAAATATCAATTTGGGAGCATTAATGTCACAATGGGCCTCGGAGTCGGTGGTAACAACATTCTCTAAGTATATTGATCAATGTGGTTCTCTAAAAAAGCTGCTCTACTCCGTGGTTGCATAAGAGCTCGACTTTCCTCGGTTCTGTATTTCTTATTGAGGTAAGCTGTTGTCTGTGAAGACATGATGGCAGCAGTCGCATATAAAGCAAGATTGTTCGGATGAATATGAAATATTAAATAGCTGTTGGTAACAACAGGCTAACAGCATTGGACAGCATGACACAGCTATCTTTGGCTATTTTCCCTAATCTTCTGATAAGAATTTATTTCTGCTGTCTCGTGGTTTAGTGTCATGTAGAGGTGAGTCCCGCTTGTTGTAAATTGAATGATCTCATAGCGGATTAAACACTTTGTTGAAAATCTCTCTGGAGAGTAATCATTCTGGTGCTAATGTTACTCCATTGTTTATGCTCGAGACCAGAATTGATAATTCGTAGCTGCTCGTAGCTGCCTTTTCTTTTAACTTTGATTACTCCTTCCCGATGCTTATTGCTTTGTCCTATTAGTGCTTGGCGGAATAGTAGTTGCCACATAAAATAACTGGAGACATAGTATGTCTACTCCTGTTGCTTCTTCAGCTAAGTATGAGAAAAAGCACGAGGTAAATCTCTACTTCAAGATATGAAGCTTTTTATTTTTGTAAGCGTTCTGAATCTTGTCAGTTAAAATGCGATTACGTGAACTACTTAAGAGTATCTTCTGAGCTTGTATGTTGTTACAAGGTAGGTGGAAGTTGTATCCACCAAATTAAGATTGTAGATAACAAATTTTATGTACTAGAAGATCATTTCTCAAGGGTAGTTTGGCCATGTTTTATTCTGTTTGGATAGAATGGATATTCCTGTTGCAGATCCCAAAAGAAATTGAGGCCACCTGTTTTTGGAACCTGTGTCCTCAATTCTCTGGTTTGCAATAGTTGTTTAACTACTTCTAGTGCATGAGCCTTGTGAACTCTTGAACTTTAAAGGTCGAACCCGTCAAGTTACAATCTTGGATCCGCCTGTTTATCTTCCATTTTGTTTGTAAACTTACACAATGCAGCTTCTATTCTTTTTGACAAGCCTGATCAACACTGATTTATTTTTAAAATGATGTCTGGAGTTGTTCTTATCCCATGGAAATGGATTTCTATATATTTGTCGATGTTGAATTTCAGTTATGTATATTTCGCTTGGATCATGAAAGCTTGTAGTAGCAATTAGCAAAATAGTAGGATCAATTACTTCTATTTCACATTTTAAAACTTTTTCTTACTGGCCATGTTTGTACTACGTT